CAGACATACATACACACACATCCAAACACATATATGCACACACGACTCCTCGTGGTATTAGTATCAGATTAAGTAGATAGAAGTAAAGTAATGATTACATATTTCAGATGCCCCATGAGCTGTTGCGACATGTTTCTAGTAATGTTTCATTATAACTGGGCACAGATAACGTGAACACGAAAAACTGAAAATCGTGGATAGATCGTGTAATTTGCCATTTTCCGACTGATATCTCTATAATTTTTTACTTGAATTACTTGAATCTAGAACTGGGGTCTTAGGAAGACGGGAAAAAACAAGCAAAAAAATAAAAATAAAAACAAATCATAAAGGGACAACAAATGTAAAAGAATATATGTATATACAAGAAAAAAATTAATGGAACCAGCTCCAGGGACCACCTGTCCAAGACGATCACCTGAACAAATGGCGACTTGCCATTCTTCCCCTTGCGTTTTAAAAATATTTTGATGAAATTTCCTCAATGTCCACCAGTTCTAAACCTTCACTTTTTCTTGACATTGGACAAATTTAACTGTAATTCGAGCCCTCTCATGACTTAAATGGAACTTCATAATAAACCTTCCGTCTTTCCAATTTGTCTCCCCCCCCCCCGGTAGCCTAACCACTAAGCTACCGGCGCCCGCATTACCCTTATGGAGGGACAAAGGCTATTGAATCCCCCCCCCCCTATCCAAAACAAAAAATAAAAATAAAACATTTTAATGGGATAACATCCCTAATTGACTGGTGCTCGTTCCGCTGGGTTGCAAATGGATGAACAGCTTCCCTCTTTGAGATCCACAAAGAGCAAATAATTCCATCAAATTCAAATTTTCATTAAACATCCAGAGAGCTGAATCTTGCAATCTCAGTTTGAGGAAGGAAATGTCTATCCCCCCTCCCCTCTCCCCCAAATCACTTTCCCTGAAAAGAGATTAAGGAAAAAGCCAACAAGACAAACTAAAATAGCTCCTCCCCATCTCCCCCCCCCCATGGAAAAAGAAAGAATCAAAAGATAAAGAAAAAAGAATAGATCACAAAGTATAATAATAATAATGATAATAATAATGATAATAATAATAATAA